CTCTTCTATGACCTTTGACTTTCTAGGACTAAAGTGAAATATTTAGACTAAGATCTCATGCCTGCAAATCATTTGCTCTCTTTCACTGTTCTTTTTAATAAGACAAGTTCAGGCCAACATTCGGTACACTTATTTAAGAAATTACTCTTTTTCTCTTACAGGACTATCTGAACTTAGCTTCGACCCGAGGCCTGAAATCAGAAAGAGCGCTCTGCAAGTGCTGTTTGATACCTTACGCAATTACGGGCACCATTTCTCTCTATCATTATGGGAAAGGGTATTTGAATCTGTACTATTTCCTATCTTTGACTATGTTCGGCATACTATTGACCCTTCAGGTGAAAACTCACCTACTCATGGAATTGATGCTGAAGAGGGTGAGCCTGATCAAGATTCATGGCTTTACGAGACCTGCACGCTGGCGCTCCAACTGGTTGTAGATCTCTTTGTTAAATTTTATGACACAGTCAATCCACTTCTGAAGAAAGTGCTGTTCTTATTGGTGAATTTTGTCAAGCGTCCTCATCAGAGTCTTGCTGGTATTGGCATTGCTGCATTTGTCCGTCTTATGAGCAATGCTGGGAGTCTTTTCTCTGAAGATAAATGGCTTGAAGTGGTTTTGTCCATTAAAGAAGCGGCTAATGCAACTATTCCCGACTTCTCTTTTCTTCTAAATGAAAATAACAATTATTGGTCCCAGGAAGAAGATATGACTGGGAATGGCAATGCAGAAACCACTGGTACAGATACTCCAGATGAGGACTTGGAAAATTTGAGGAGGCACCGTCTATATGATGCTATTGCTGATGTGAAGTGTAGGGCTGCTGTTCAGCTATTATTAATTCAGGTATCCAGAAAAGCCACTACTGTGGGTTTAGTTCTAATTCATTTATGTATGCTCTAGCTTAGAGATGACCAGACACTCAACATAGTATCACAACAGGCAGAGTCATTGGATCGAATCTCACTGACACCCATCATCAAAAATAATAATAATATATGTATGCTCTCCAGAAGCGAGTAAAGATGGTTGTATACTATGTTAGGAGGAGGTTGTAGTGTTTGAAAGATCTTTTGCATATATCGTGGTTTGTTTGACATGATTAGACACAAAAGATGGGTTATGTGTCAATTATGTGGGGGAAATGTCGGGTTGGCATATAAGATTTGGTTTTTAATATATATGCACAGTTAGAGTCTTTGGACATATGTATGTTTGCTGTGCTGCTGGTGATTCGAGTTCTTCAGTTAGACATGTATATATGGATATACAATAACAAATTTATGTTGGAAATTAATGCTAGTTTAATTGCCTAGAAGGATATACCATGCATCCCATGTTGGAATTGGAGTAATTTGATGACAGTTGAGTATGATATTTTAGTATGGAAAAATAACCAGATAAGTACTCCACTTGATAAACACTCTTATCATTATAATTCATAAGTTGTCAATTTACAGTCTCGTTATTTTAACTCACAGTTTTTAATCAATCTGGAGTTGATACTTGATATTAGCTTATTTTAAATAATTAGAGCTGTAACTAGTACCGCCTTCTCTAAGTTGGTACCAATTTTATTTCATCATAGTCTCATTTAATGTCTGACTATAACTGGGAAAATGAGAATCAAATTACAATTGAACGAAAACTATGGACTCTTGATGCCTTGTCAAATTTCAAACAATATTTCTACTGCTGATCCTGTAGCGTGAGCTTAGTAATTGAGAGTATCTCATAATCCTGTTGGAAGATCTTTGAAATGATAGGTGTTTGTGTTTTTGGTGTGGGTTTTGCATCTATTTGTAGTTGTCTACTTGCACTTGGGATATCTTTGTATTGTTAATTTGGTCATTCTCTGAAGTATGGGGCCATGCTGTTGCTTTCTTAAAGGTCATGCCTTCAAAAAGAACATTGATATTATTGAAAACCTTGTATGGTAAATTTGATTAATTGTTCCTTTTTTTTGTGTATATCTAGAAAGCTTAATTTCTACCATAATGATCTCTTGCACATTGCAGGCTGTGATGGAGATCTACAACATGTACAGACCTCAGCTGTCTAGCAAAAACATCATTGTTCTCTTTGATGCCATGCATGGTGTGGCATCTCATGCTCATAAAATAAACAGTGACACGACACTGCGGTCAAAGCTGCTAGAGTTCAGTTCCATGACCCAAATGCAAGACCCTCCGTTATTACGGCTTGAGAATGAGGCTTATCAAATTTGTCTCTCATTTTTACAAAATCTTGTGCTAGATAAACCTACTGGTTTTGAAGATTCTGATGTGGAAACTTACCTCATCAACCTTTGCAGCGAGGTCTTACACTTCTATATTGAAATCGCACATTCAGGACAAATGTCTGAGTCATCTCTTGGTGCACAGCTTCGTTGGTTAATTCCCCTGGGTTCTGGTAGAAGGAGAGAGTTGGCTGCACGTGCACCTCTTATCATTGCAACTCTCCAGGCAATATGTAGTTTAGGAGATGCATCCTTTGAGAAAAACTTGTCAGGCTTCTTCCCATTACTTTCAAGCTTGATAAGTTGTGAGCATGGTTCAAATGAGATTCAGTTAGCCCTGAGCGATATGCTCAGTTCATCCGTGGGTCCTGTTTTGCTTCGATCATGTTGAGCTTAGGGTACTCATTATTTCTTTTGCTTTATATGGTAATATTTCTTGTATTTTTGCCAATTTTCCTATCATCTAATATTGCAGAAAGATAGTTTCGGTGCTTCAAAAACTAGTGATTGTTTATATGCCCAGGCATTTAGAACCTTCTGCAGTATATTGAGGGGCTTAGCTCTTTGTAGAGTCATTAGATGTTAGCAGGAGTTCTGATGTTGTATGTGTAGCATTTTCCTCTTTAATATACGAGCAATTTCATGCCTAAGGATTGCTTGTTGTGTATCTACTCAAATTACTTTGTGAGCTTTGTTTATCTGATTAGTTGCAGGGGTTTAGCAATGAATGTTTCATTTTACAGCTCTGAAGCAGTATAAGATATCCGTGGCGATTCCATTGGTTAGAAGAGAAAGATGTTAGTGTTTGATGCACAGGTATGCGTATGCTAGATTGATGGCTACTATTTTTTTTTTTTAAAAAAGAGTTTATTTCTTATGGTAATGGTGTTCGGGCCAACTTGAAAATAGTTTCTGAACCTTTGAAACTAGTCAGTCTCCTCTTTACACAAGTTTCTGTCTGCTAGATTCTGGCAGATTAACGGTCTCCATTTCCCACCTAGTTTCTGAACCTGTTTCCCTTTTCAAGTTTAGACATATTGATGAAAAATATAGATATCGTTGAGTGGTTAGCTGCCTTGCTGTTTTGTATATCCTTTTAGAGCGAAGTGTTTTGCATGGCTATATATTCCTTTATTTACTTGCTATCACAGCTGCTACTATCGGCTCTCCTTAAAATTGTCAAGTTCTGTTTATGTAGCATTTCTGTAGATTTATCTGCTTCACGTTGTTTGAGATGTGTGCCGTTTGCTGTGCTTCGCTCCTGCAATAGTGTATATTTACTGTGCCTAGTCTCAAAGTGGATTATTGTCACTGATATAATCTACGAGATCATCAACCACTTTTAGATATACGCACATTTACATATATTTTTGACTTCTGGTTCTCAAAAAAAGGAAAAAGTGTTATGGTTTACTTTACCTCATCTTGTTGATTCTGAGAATCTTATTTTTGTATGTTTCTATTACCTTTGTACATGTTGAGTGGAGATATTTTCCTATCTTGTAAGGATATTGTTGTCTTGGTGCATTCTAATGGTCAATATCATTTGTGCACATTTTCTGAGTGCTTGACCCACACGTCTCAATCAACTTTCGTAAAATGTGGGGGAAGTAATTACGCCAACTTTCCTAGTTCCCTACTATTCGAATAAGTTGACCAGTATCTCATTTATAATTCTATAATGACTCAAAGATCTACCCTATTGGCTCCAATAATTAAAGGGAAAAAAAGGTTTCTTCTACATATCAATGTGAAAGGGAGACTCAAAAGATATTATGGCCAAAATACCATAAGTTGTCACTTTTCAAGTCTCAAACCATGTTTTTAGTATGTGTTCAGAGTGTTTTTTTTTTTTGGTTTTTCAACTCGTTGTTCAATGCAGGGAGCCCCCGACTAAATTCCGGTCACGCATTATAGGGCTTATTTGGGGTGCCTCTCCCAACAAGATTTTCTCCATACCTAAAGCTCGAACTCGAGAACTTTAGTTAAGGGTGAAGCAGTCTCACCGCTATACCACAACTCATGTTGGTGTGTTGAGTGTTTTTACTTGTTGTTTGATAAGAGGATAAGCTGCAACTTAAAAGCTTCTGGATATTTAAAACTTAATACCAATATTCACTAATGAATTAGTCAATTGTTAGTTTTGGTAATTCAGTAATAAATTTGGCCAAAGAAAAGTATAAAGAAGAAAAAGGATTAGCATATAAGTAGGACGGTGCTTATAGAACCGTTTAGGGGTTCGGTAGAACTATTGACTTTAGGTTAAATTTTGTATTTGTATTGATAAATTTATTTAAAATATATAAATAATTTATTTAAGAATTTAAACCTTAAACTGCGTCTGCATATAAGGAAACATGATGACAAATATTGCCGGCAACTTTTAAGAGGATATTTGTATATTCCACTAGGAATTAGTCTTGGACCAACAACAATTTTTCACTTCGACTGAAAAGATGCTAATTATGTCTCACAAAGTTTTTTAAATTTGTAGTTCAAAATTCCTTTCGATTATTTGTGCGGACTATAAATAATTTTATTAAGAGAAAAATTTGAATTTTAAAATTAAATTATTTTCAATCATAAAAAAATGATATTCTTTGGGATGAATAAAAAGAAAATTATCCTATATAATTGGGATAAAGGAGTATGTTTGGAAAATTAATTGTCCTAATAAATTTGAAAAAAAAAAACAAATTACCTTTATAGAATTAGGAAAACCTTGTTCTAATAATAAGTTTAGTAAAGGAAAACATACAATCCTCCTAGGATTAGAAAACCTTTCTTTTATTGATTTGAAATTACTTGTGCTCTATATAAGCCTTATAGTTGTGAATCCATAAGCATTATACACTTCGTCTCTTTCAAAGCGAAAAACTTGGATAAATTAACTCAGTCAAATCTCATTAAATTTTTATATTATTTTTTCTCCTTTAGCGATTGTGTGCTAGTTAATCCAAATATTTCTGGGACAAAAGAGTACCTTCTTAGAAAAAATTAAAGGGTTGTTCCTAATTCATATAGGACCGGTCGGCGGTCACAGGGCTATAGTATATTATTAGAAATTGACAAATATTTTCCCCCAAATTCTCTACTTCTTCACCAATTAATCACTCTTTTATCTTTCTCCTGGTTTTTCAACATTACTATGGATTCTGTAACAGTATGGTTCAAGTCTATTGGGAAATTTGTTGGACAAATTAAAAAAGGGAAAAAAACCCCAAAGAGAAGGGCTTCTGATTTGAGCTATTTATCAGGTTTTGCAACTATGGAGGTATCTAATCAACTGAAATTAGTGTTTAAATTGATTGATACAAATGGGGATGGAAAGATTTCCCCTTTAGAGTTAACTGAAATTTTGTTGAGTGTTGGACATCATCAAGAATTGAAAGCTGCTGAAGAATTAGCAGAGGTTATGGTTAAAGAAATGGATTGTGATGGTGATGGATTTGTGGATGTGAATGAGTTTTTGAATGTTATGGGGGTGGAAAAAGATGAAGCTAAGGATATTGATGAGATAATTAGACAAGTTTTTCTTGTGTTTGATGTTGATAATAATGGGCTTATTTCAGCTAAGGAATTGAGGAGAGTTTTAATTAGTCTTGGTTGTGGAAATTCTAGTGTTAAAGAGTGTAGAAGAATGATTAAAGGAGTTGATAAAGATGGTGATGGATTTGTTAATTTTGAAGAGTTTAAACAAATGATGGCTGCTGGATGCAATTTTTAGCCCAACATTATGATTTTACTCTGTTTTTTTTTTTTTTTTTTGTGAGTGTGAGTCTATGACGGGCTTGAATGGAGCGACATAGACAATGAGGATTCAGGTAGTCGATCCTGAACTATGATTGAGGTGTAGTTGTTTTTAATTTCTTAATTTGTGGATTTTGTAAGTCCTTGGTTGTTGGATTATGTAGTGTTTAAAATTTGATTTAAGTTTTAAGGTAGGATGTCAATGTTATGAAAGCAAGTAGGTAACTCCATATTTAGCATAATTCTCCTCTTTTCATGTTTTTTTTTGTAATAATAGTTTACAAGTATCTTGACTAGTTATGTCCTTCAAATTTTGACAAGTGTGTGTTTCTTCATTTGCATGTCCACTAGTGAAGTTGAACATTTCTTGTAATTATCCCTCTACTTAGTTTTACTTGCCCGCTATATCAAAAATAAAATTTCACTTTTACTTGTCTGTTGTCACTATTCATATATATATATTTTTTTATTTTTTATTTTTAACATTAATTACTTGAATATTTTTTAAACAAATTTTCAAGCTTAATATTAAATATTAATTAATAAAAATAGTTATATCAATCATTTTTTTTAAAATACTATGCTAAATTTAAATATGATAAGTAAAAATAAAAGTGAACATAGATCATAAAACTTGGTATTATACAAGGCATTGATTAGCTTCCTTACAACGTGACACGTGTTAAATGTGATAAATATGCTTACAAAAGATGTAACAGCAAGAGAATATCGCCATTATTATCGCACAAGTAGAGACAAATATACCCATATATATCATCTACGAGAAATTAATAAGATGAGAAAATGTTTGAATGTTGCTTGTGGAGAGATTTGTAAAAAATACAATAGAATAGTTTTTAGAATAAAAGATATTTTATGTGTAAAAATAAGAAACTAAATTTAAAAAAAATTGTAAGTGATTTACAAAATCAAATCTCCCCTATCTCTTTATCTACGAATGTTCATCAAAGACATTTGAATTAAGATTAGTCAAAATTCATTATTTTAAATGCTTCTAAACCTTGATTTAGCTTCATTATTTTCCTCCCATGCCACTTATTAATTAGTTGAATAAAGTATATGGCATGGGAGGAAAAAATATATATATAGCTCTCAATAGTTGAAAAAACAAGAAGAAAATTAAAAGGAGGAAAAAATAAATAAAAGAAAGACGTTCAAGATCAATTTTAATGAAGGCAAATTAAATATTAAGACATTTAAAATTAAATTATACGTTTGTGCAATAATTATTGTTTATAATGGTCATCAAAGTGCTTGTGACTAATAATCAAAATCAAATTCATTAAGTTTATGATAAGCTCAAATATCTTTATATTTATTTTTGTAAAGGATAATTAAAAAAATTCTAGAAATTGTAGCATTCCCTTTCTCTCATTACTGCAACAAAATATTTGTTATCAAGTGATGAAGAAAATTGGTTCCATATCATTTTTGAGGAATATATATCTAATAGTAACAGAAATTATGAAATAAGAAACATATTTGATAAGTTTAATTTACACACATATTCCCTATATTCATATCTTCCAGTTTTTTTTTTTTTTTTTCATTTGATGTCCGATACGATGATATTATAAATGTAATTATTTTTCATAACACGATTAATGAGTATCATCCTAGCTTGGAGTTTTGACATACAAAGATTCAAATTGTCATTTTTGATCACTGCCATTCCAGCGAAGACAACAACAACAACATACTCATTGTAATCCTAGCAAGTACATTAAAAATTTCCATTAAAATTGTGTATATGTGCATGATTAGCTAAGCTTTGCTGTGAAATGTTGCTAGGAAAAATGGGCCTTTCTCATACACTACCAGAGCCCATTTTTTTATGTTACGGCCCCATATAGCCCATTGTATTATTACGGCCCAAATCAATTTCACCCCCAACATGTAGGACTTTGGTTAATACTCAAGGTAGAATTCCTTTATCAATATATAATACTAGAAAATATATGTTTTTGAGAGTAACCTAATTTATATTTTAGTTGATAGAAAAGAAATGCAAATGAGTGTGTAACATAAAGTTTCTAACGTGATATTTATTTTTTATTTTTTTAAAAAATAAATCAAAAAATTCATTACTATGTTAATTGACCTTACCAAGGATTTTTATGATACTTCTTAATTGGATACTTTTTTTATTTATGAATTTTAAAAACAAATTAAACCAAGAATATGAAATTGGAAAAATTAAAATAAAACATTAAAGTTGTACAAATATCAGTTCTATGTTACCAGCAGTATATGTTTAATTAATAGTACAATATAACACTAGGATGCACCAAATTCAATAGTTTATATTTCTTATTATAATCATTCGTGTGGAAAATCATGCATATATAGACAGTAAATTGTTCTTCTAATAATTAAATGATCATTTTTGAAATTGTTCTCAGCATAGAGGATCTAAATTAAAGGTGAACTTGTGGGTTTCATTGGGTATGTTGTTATATAAAGGATATAAAGACGAATGATATATATATATATATTTATTTATTTATTTTAATTTTTTTTTTAATTTTTGTTAAAAAAAAGTACCAAGGATTCAGAAATTTGTTGATTATTATTTTCTTTATTAAATAGGACAATATAATGGCACCACAAAAAGTTCATATTTTTAAAATCCCGTGCAAGATCCTAGCTAAATTAATAAAGCATTGGGTTAATTAGGATCTTCATTTCATACAACAAAGATTTTGTTGTCTAAATCTTATCAGAATATTTTAGCAGCTTAAATGGTTATATTAAATTACCACTAAACTATATATTGTTCATCAGATCATTTAGGACCCTATAATATAAGTTAATATTCAATGAAATAATTCATATTAAATATTGTGCCGTCTTCCTAGCTATACATAGTATTTAGTGTAACTTAATCAGCACTTTTCCAACATCCTCAAGACAATAATCTTGTTGTATAAGAAAAAATATTCTGAACATTAATAAAAGTACAATGGCATGAGAGTTAGGATAAAAAAAATTAAATTCATCAGTTAAATATATGATCTATAGTTGGTCGTTATCTAGGCATGTTGCGACATATGTCCTAATCTTTTCTTTATTTCTCTTCATCTATTTTATGTGCTTCTCTTGTACCAACATGAAATTTTCTACCAATCCCAATTTCAAATGATTCAATAAATACTTTCTCTATCCATTTTTACTTGTTCACTGTACTAAAAATAAATGTTCATTTTTACTTGTTCAGTCTAGAAAATCAAGAGATAATTAATTGCTCTTGTTATTTACTATTGTCATTTATTATATTTAGGGAAAATGGTCTGAAAAATACTCCAATTTTGGCCGAAATTATTGTTACGATACCAAACTTTATGAAGGACCTTTTACCCCCTGCACTATTTAATCGTGTATTTTAAAGGTATATATGTGCCCACGTGGACACATTACTATTTATAATGATGCAATATTTATGATGTCCATGTGGACACATATATATCTTTAAAATACACTATTAAATAGTGCAGGGGGTAAAAGATCCTTTCCAAAGTTCGGTATTGTTACAACAATTTCGATCAAAGTTCGGATATATTTCAGATCTTTTTCCCTTATATTTACATAGTGATTTAATAAAATTATTCATTATTTATTACTCTTTAAGATATATGTCATATCAATACTGAAAAAATAAAAATGGATGGTGAATACCAGGGGCGTAGCTACACTATTGTCAAGGTGTCTAATTGAACATTATTCATTAGAAAATTATACCGTATATACAAGTAAAATGATAATTAACAAAGTGATTAAATAACATATTTTGGTAATTTCAGGTGCCTTAAGAACCAACACATGCGAACTTAAAGTGTTCGTGTGCTCTATCTCACTAGTAGCTTCTCTTTTTTCATTTTTTAACTTTACAAAAACACGTGTCCAAAAATATTAATTATTAATATTACGTAATTTAATTTTAAAAACTTTAGTACCCTCATTTGTTAAAAAAAACTTGGACATACTTGGTAAATTTTTTGACTCTGCTACTAGTTGAATACTATATAATGATTTATTATATAGTCATGTTCATGGGAATCATATTGTTCTAGTTAAACTAATACTCACTTTCTGATTTCTTGCTCTCTAAGTCCTATTGTTGATCATGCCTGTAAACTCGATTTATATATCCTTTATTAAATTAAAAGAAGTCTCTCTAATTATTTATTTAAGTTGATTACTTTTCAGAAAGCTTTTCAATAACACTTCAATGAAGTTATCATTACAGACAGATCATATCTACACTTTAAAACAAGCATCTACATATGTTATTATTGTTTTGAAATATAAAATAGATTAGTATTACTAGTTATAATTATAAGCAGTACTTATGTAAAAGGAGTTCCTACCCTTTTAATTATTGTGTTTAAAGCTATACTATATATATTAATTAATAACTTTTATTTTTCACTATGCTGCTGGAGGCTCCTCTAGCTATTCCAAGTTGGCAGGAGCATATATAGAACTGTATTTAACTAAAAAAAATAATCCCGACCTTACAACAAATAAATTATGATTTAACTGTAATTATATAATTGCTACTACTATATTATATTATATGTAATGCCGTTAAAGACTTTAACGATTCTAAATATAATGATATTAACTTAATTACCGCTAAATATTTTATGTAGAGAGATTTGAGAAGAAAAATATACTGAGTTTCAAACTTCCACCGTTAAAATGAAAGTGTGGGCAGCTCGCCGTAGAGGCAGAGCTAGGTGGTGGTTCATGGGTTCGGACGAACCCACTAGCTTTTTTGTAGACTCTATATTTGTATTAGGAAATTAATTTTTTTTATGTATATTAACTTGTGAACCCCAAACAAATTGATTTAAAACCCCTAAACACCTAATTTTGACTCCACCTCTAAGCTCGCGAACTGAGTTGTACCCCACTATAACCTGTATCTATTTGGCTTCAACTTAGTAAATAATCAGGAAATCGACTATACTATAGTTCATTATTTTTCGGCATTATTTAATTAACTATAACGTAGGATACAATTCTTTAACCCAGATGAGCTTTTGCGTGGCGAATATTGAACCTAGCTAGAATATGTTAGTAATATAGTACTCCCTCTTTTCCAATTTATGTGATTTACTTTCCTTTTTAGTCAGTCCCAAAAAGAATGACACATTTCTATATAAAGTAACAATTTGACTATAAAATATCTATTTTACCCTTAATGAAATGATTTACAGCCACACAAATTTTTATAATTCATTTTGGACCACAAGTTTTAAAAGTTTTC